CGGCAATGCTGACCCAACCCATGACATCTGATCAAAACTCCCTACATGGCCCTTGGGCCCAAATAATTGCCCATCCCTGGTCTACAGGGTCTCTCTTGGCTTGAGAAGGCCCTCTCAGTGCATACATAAAAGCTACCCTGAACAAAGTCTGAAGGTCTCTGCCCATCCCACTTGAACATTCACTACTAATTATTAAAGCAGTCTCCTTATATCAGGGAGAAAGGATAAAGTTCAACAAAAGCTTTTTCCTATTTTTCCTGGTTAATTGTTTGCCACTGGAGCCCAACCCAAGGTCAGGAAATGACGCTACAACTTCAAAACTCATTTTACACAAAAAATAATTAGCATGAGTAATTCAAGTTTTAGTGCTCATGTCTGTACAACCCAACAGAAAGCATGTCTGCGAGGGATTTGCTACTGGAAAAAGGAAGCAGATTAGAATACAGCTAGATTCTTACAGAATGGTCAAAGCTATATGCAAGCCTCACCTTAAATCTTTTGTCCTGCAGCACTTTCTTGATGGCCACAAGCTCTCCTGAATCGCAGAGTTTGGCTTGATACACGACACCAAAAGATCCATTGCCAATCACCTTGGTGTCCGTATAGCTAACTTCTTGTGGTCGGTCAGGCCCTTGTCCAGGAGTTGCTACAACTGTAGTCACTTTGCTGCCATCTTTGTCTCCTGTGTAAGCAAAGAACATGGAATTAAAGTTGATGTACATCCATAAAAGTATACATACAGCACACTATAACAGACAAGTGTATAAATACTTGTTTTCAACCAAATTTATTTGACAGGAAGGAAAAAGAAAAAAGATGGCGTGCAAACAAAGATTTAACATGCTGCCTATTTGTTGCAACACATTTAGAAAAGGTATTTTTTAGTTTACACTGTACTTAAAATAAAATGTCCCCCTTTTCAGATTCAACAATTCCCAACTCTGGCATGTCTGCAGGACAGCAAAATTACCAATTTTTCTCTTTTCCATCAATGTGAGTGGTACTATGCATTTAATGACTTATATTATTAAAATAAGAATCAATCCACGTTCTGATACGTTACTGTAATTACAGCAATCAAACCAACAGCCTTCTCAGCAGAGCAAGATCTCTTTATCTACACACCCTGGGCTGTATGCTAGGTGCCTATCATGACACCATAGGGTGCAGCCCTTTATGTGTCCACAGCCTTATCATCTTCACTAGGCGTTCACCCCTTGGTGACCAGAACAGATTTCACTGCATTCATGCAAGTTACCTCCCACAGAAAGGAAAGGTCACTTAGGAGAATGCACCAGGTGGCAGCTGCTCAAAACCAGATAGAATTCCCTCTCCAACAAAACTGCACTTTATTTTAACGATGTCTATCTTGGCCAAACCTTTGCACTGGCTCCATTACACTGGGACCTGACTTTTGTTGGGGGGTGGGGTTGTTTGTTTGGGTTTTTTTGCTTTAGTTTAATGCAGGGGTGAGCAAAATGCAGCCCGCCAGGCCATTCTATCCGGCCTTCAGGGCCCCTAAAAAGTTTAGAAAATTAGTATTTATCTGCCCCTAGCTGCCTGTCACATGGCCCTCGATGGCTTGCCAAAACTCAGTAAGTGGCCCTCAGTCCAAAATAATTGCCCGCCCCTGGTTTAATCCTCTATTAGATATCGTGTGCTTTTTCAAGTTGACAAAGGAGAGGTAGTGGATGTGTTTGCTTGCTTTGGTTTTTTGTTTTTATAAAGCTCAGTAATGCAAGGGTGCTAGACACTTGATGTGAAATATGCAGAAGACAGGTTCTTCCCTGAAAGAGCTTGCAAAAAGGTGAGAGGGACACAGATGTATTTCAAGAGGAAGTAGAGAAGACTAAATGAGTTAGAAAACACACAGGTAGAAAGAAAACAGACAAGGGATTACTGGGAGAGAGAAGAGAGGACGCAGATATGACTTGTTCCTAAAAACAAAGAAATGGAGCGAAGCCTGTGAAGAAAAGAAAAACGAACAACAAAACGGAGATGGCAAAGTGAGGTCTAAATATCATTATCATCATGACAAAAGTTATTAATTGCAATTAAAAACAACAGATAAACATCACATAACCAGTTCCTCTGGAAATGGCCAGGTTGTGACAGCATAAGCATTTCTTGCCTCTGCTAGGAGGCTAGGGTGTACCAGGGATATTTTTCAAACCATGCCGGTCAGATTTTGTAGTAGAAGCAACTCATTTATAGAGAAACTGGTTAAAGTTTTGCAACATTACAATGTCGAGGACCAGAGCAAGTTCAGCAAGGTTTAAGGGAAAGTACCAGAAGATTTATTCTACTGATACTGCTCAGGGTCTGAACCTGCAGCTGGCAGCAGGAACACCCCGGAGCTTTCCTCTGCCAGCAACTCCAGCAGCCACCACTGGATCTGAAGAGTGTTACCAGCAGCTCCTTCCAGCTGGCCCCCTAGACTACCCAGATAATTCCCACAGAGCAGAGGAGCAGATATGACAGCTACACAGCTTCTTTAAAAATTTCCACAGACCACAAGCAAACTTGTTCCTAACTGAACCCATTAAACTCTTTCATTCTTAAAAAAGTAAGCACTAAAATATTTAATTAGCCCAGCTAAGAGCTACTTTGCTTCCACAACCTAAATTTCAAGCAGCTTCAATGTAGACTAGACTAGACTCCTTTTTCCTGACATTTCTTTTCATACAAACCTAGGTATTTCCTCCACAAAAAACACACAGGTACGGTAGTTTTAACGATTAGTCTACAAAATCCATAGTAAGGACTTCACAGATACAAGCACTAAGAATTAACAAGCAAGGAGGCAGCCAGCTATAGTTTACGTAAACTTTCTATTATTCTACAATTCAGCAGTGTTAACTGTATCTCTAAAAATATACCTTTTGCTTTTACAACTTAGGTAATGTCCATAAAGCATATTTATAAAATATGCTATAAAGTTTATTTGTATTGTGGTACCACCAAGAAGCCCTAACGCTGCCTTGTCAGGTCCTGTACCAGTGATCCTACACCCTACACACCTGCATACTTACACGTGCTGAAGTTGAATGACATGTTCAGGACCATACAATGGTTACTATGAGTGTCCTATTCTTAGCTAGGGCCAGAACCACAAGATGGCTCTTTACACGCAGGTCAGATGGCAAACAGGTCTGGCAAATAAAGGGCATTTTTACACATGCATGTCACAGTGCTGGGTGCTTTGAGAAGTGCCCAGTGCTGCAATGCATGGAGTTGTATAAACAGTGAAATGCGTGTCAGCGCTGAGAAAATGGCAGCAGTGCGCTTATGTGTTTTAGTTCAAAAGCGCGCCGTCACCATTTTCTCAGCGCTGGTGCGCATTTTGCCACTTATACAGTTGCATGCAACTCAGTGCAGTTAGCCTCAGCTCGCATGCAGAAAGCAGTGGATCTCCAATGCGTCACTGGAAAAAAGAGTATGTGTATAAGTGCCCCATGATTCTAGCCCCAGCAAAGATGGGAAGTGCTTTCTTGTTAAGGTGACAGCAGCAGCAGAGAGCTCCCCAGGTCTGGGGAAGGGGGAAACACTGCCCATAACGCACGGGTTGCAGGGGAACAGGTAGCCAGAGACTTATAACAGGGCTAGCTGCACTGCAACAGGACCATAGAGCAAAGCCATGCTCAGGCAGCAAGGGCACTACTAAAGCAGCTAGAGCAGCAGCTGTAAGTTGCCTTGGAGGCCATCCATCCAACTGCAGTCAGCTGACTGGAAGAGGCAGGGTTTAGGAGGTACATAAAGCCAGTGCCTGAGGCCACGACAGGCAGTCTGGCCCTGCAGACCACAGGGAGAAGAGCTCTGCAGCCAGATGGCTGTACGGGAAGCACTGGACTGATACCTGAGCTGCCTTGGGACCTGCGAGGAAGGAGCTGACAGCTTGCAGGGAAGTAAGACCCAGTATGAAGAAGGTTAATATTTAAAGCAATAGCGCACTTTCTTTTTTTCCTATATGTTTGCTGGGAGGAAGGAGTTTGTATGTTAGGTGGTTGCTTGCCTTTATTTTATTTTTTATTTATACCAGGGGAGCAAGACTAACAGGGGAGGAGTTCACAAGACTCCCAAAGGGCATGTGGTGTTTTGAGCCCTGCCAGGGCCCAAATTCAAGATGCAGACAGGCACAACTGGGAAAGTAGTAAAGAAGGTCTGAAGCTGAGAGGGTTAAGGCCATAGCTCAAAAGGGGCAAGAAGCCTGAGAAGGTAAAAACCAGGGTCAGACACCTGCATCCCAAGACAGGTGAGGAAACTGAGAAAGCAAGGGGCCTGAGAAGGGTAAAACCAGAGTCTGAAGGGCCCCAATAAAGGTGAAGAGGCCTGAGGTGGCCTGGCATTAGTTTGGGGCAAAGTACCCCACCCAAGTGATGAAGAGTAATATCTGCAAGGCATGGGTGTAGCTGTGGGGGAGGTTGGAGACCATGGAATTAGCCCTTAAGGCAATTTAGAGCACAGAGGGCCCCAACTAGCACCTGAGGGCAAGGCAGGGATCATTAGGGTTTGGGTGGAGCCAACAGATGGGTAGCAGACACAGGCTCACTTTGGGACCCTGGGGGCAGCCTCCCTTTCTCCCAATCAAATACTATCAGCAAGACATGGCAAGCAAGAAGGGGGGGGGAAGGGGGGGGGGGGGGAGGGTACATGGACTGCCAGAACTGGACAGAAGTCACAGAGCCACCGGGGGCATCACAGCCACTCTGGGGCTTGATCTTGCTACCGGAAGCTACTGAGGAGAGAGATGCTTTTACAAGCACCACTGTTTTCCCAGCTGCAACTCCTAGTAGTGAAAAGCAGCTTTACAGCAAACTTTGGCTTAATAAGAAACTTAATACTTCACTTGGATTTGCTGTACTTTCTAACTGTGCGTCAACTGTTATATGCTCACGCCCCAGGAAGACAATTTTCCTGGAAGCACACAATACTTCAATACCTTTGAATGCGAAATGTCTACAACAGAAGTAAAATACTTAAGAAAATATTTCTATTGAAAAGCTGAGGCAGGAAGGAACAAAACATCAAACACTAAGAAAACTTAAAAGCATCTCTAACATCAGTCCAAAGAGCCCATAACAGTATATTTGCATGAAATAAGTTGGTTTCTAGTACATCACTAAGCCAACTAAAATAAAATCCAAATGAACTGAAACTGGAATAGGCCTTGCACAGGAGCCCCATTAAAAAAAAAAAATCAATCAGACTACAGCTATGCAAATAGGCTCTCCAACACCCTGGACAGGTGCACAGATGTGAAACGGGAACTGTTCTATCATTATACAGCCCTGCACTTCTATAGTTCCTTTCATCTGAAGGACTCAAAGCACTTCAGCAACATATGGAGATTTAATATATTGAAGTATGACATGCATTTTACTGATGTCAAAGTTATTCAGAAGTTAAAGACTAAACTGGAAAATCCTAAATCCCCACCCCACCCCCAGTTCAAGCCCCTGACTGTGCCTATTGTTTTCTAGGTTCTAAATGGTACTCCAGTCCATTTTCCCAGTTCCTCTGATGGGAACTTAGTGAGTCTTATTTTACCATTTAACCTTTAAACAACATTTGTCAATCTTTTTGGGGTGAATTTTAACCCAATTCACAAAAGCTTTAAAAAACCTAAAACAAACAACACATTCTTGAGTGGCTGCTCTGTTGTAAAATTCACATGAAAGAAGA